TGAGAGATGGGGCCACGGGCGTAGGGCTCTTTCAACTTCGGGACAAGGGCAAATACGTCCATACAGAAAAGTGAACAGTACGCATACGCCTGCTAGTGGGCCCAAACAGCTGGAAGACGTAAAAATGGCAAAACTCGGTGAACCATTGAATTATAATGGTAAATCTCAAAATAGGTGAATTTTAATGGTATATCTCAAAGTTTCGAGAATTGTAATGGTACCAATCCAAATAACCCTAAATTTAATCACGCATCATTCTGGAACCTAATCAATTTGTCTAATAAGGCTAGAAAAAGGTATAATTGTAAAACACAAGTATAGAACCAACTAACCAAGAGAACAGTCACACAAAAGCTCAACTTTCGAAATTCACCCAAAAGGAAGACAAGTGACAGCAGAAATCTTGCTTCCCTCGACAAGGGGGAAAAACAGAAATCTCGTGAATTGTTTATGCTTTGGGCGTGAACCCGTGCGGCCATCATCGCGCGCGCTCCGACCGCGGGTAGTCGTCATCGCTCGCCGCCGGCAGCAACCGCGAATGCCGCCGCCGCCGCTTTCACCACCAACCGCGCCACCTTCCCACTAAACCCTTGGAGGTCAGCGGGGGCAACACAGCCGGCTCCGGCCGCCGCCAGACGGCTCGCTCGGATAAGATCAAGTAGTGTTCGAGAGGGCTCAAACCCTAGCCTCCTCGCGTCCTTCCCCCATGGCCTTTGATCACAAGACACGGGCCTCTAAAGGCCTAGCCCAATAAATGTCTCGTCTAACTACAACATGGGCCTCGAAGTACCACTCCGGCCCATATATCTCAAACGCTCCACGGGCCTACATGCCATTCTCAGAGCCGCGTCGGCACCACATAAAACCCTAACGCTTCGAGGCTATAAAACGCCACTCTCTCCAGCCGCATCCCGCTCCCCGCCGCCCCTCCCCCAAGCCGCCAAAACCCTAGCTCCGCCGCCGCCGCTGCGAACACAGGTGAGCCACCACCGCAACCATGTCCGTGCTGAGCCGCCCTACCCCGGGCACGGTCCAGTGCTTCGGGCGGAAGAAGACCGCCGTGGCCGTGGCGTACACGAAGCCGGGGCGCGGGCTGATCAAGGTGAACGGCGTCCCGATCGAGCTGATCCGCCCGGAGATGCTCCGCCTCAAGGCCTTCGAGCCCATCCTGCTGGCGGGGCGGTCCAGGTTCAAGGACATCGACATGCGGATCCGCGTCCGCGGCGGCGGGAAGACGTCGCAGATCTACGCCATCCGCCAGGCCGTCGCCAAGGGGCTCGTCGCCTACTACCAGAAGTACGTCGACGAGGCCGCCAAGAAGGAGGTCAAGGACATCTTCGCCCGCTACGACCGCACCCTCCTCGTCGCCGACCCCAGGCGCTGCGAGCCCAAGAAGTTCGGTGGTCGTGGAGCCCGCGCCAGGTTCCAGAAGTCTTACCGTTGAGCGATTGCTTGCCGAATCGCAAATTTGCAAGATCGTTCTGGTTGTTCGTGGCTTCATTTCCTGTCATGGAGCTGCTTATCTATATCTAGTTTCTGCTTTACCCTAATGTTTTAGACTGGCATTGTGGTATCAATCTGAGGAGATTTTGAAGACTTAATTAGTCTCTTAAGTATGTTTTGCTTTTTATTATCTCTGTCGAGTAATTATGATATGATCGCCTATTAGTTCTCTGAAGTATGTTTTGCTTGTTATCTTACATCTACACTTGATTTGGCTTCCAATTCTTAACGTATCCATTATGTGTTTAGTTAACTTGTGCTAGTTTCTGTCTGTTTATGCTTAGTTGAATGGATTGCACGATTATGAGAGTAGTGATAGTATTATTGGTGTTATATACTGGCACATGGGATTTTACCATCTTTGCAGGTTGAAGTGATGTTAATTAACTAGCAGATGCTCAAAAGCACTAGGGAATAAATTGTGCATGTGTTTTCTATATCCTACACAGTGAAGTGAACTACCAAATGCATTCTATCAATTTTGGATGATTTGTCTCCATCTATTCATTGTAATTTTAGGATATTTCAAATGTTGGCCATGTACACAAGTCAGTGTGACAATGGAGTGGCAAATCCTCATTTCTTGCCAATTTTATTGAGTAACCCATCTGCCAATATGCTCCTTCCAATCAACTTGAGTTGTTTGCTTTCATGATTAGTGTAGTTCCTTTTTATCAGACACTTTGCCTACCCCGTCCCCCCTTGGAACCTCTGCTATGACTATTTGTGAGTAGGTGCTGCTCTTATAGTTATGACTGTCTCTGTTGTTAGTATATGGAGTATCCTGTTTCAAGGGATGTTATTCATAGCCCTAATACAGTGTTAGGAAGGTGATTATTTGATGGGAAATGGTGATTATTTGATGGAAAAAAGAGGGATTTTGTTTGCAACAGGCCCGATAAAATCCTCAATAGGGCTAGAGAGTGCTCTGTTGAAATATTCTTGTTTGTTTGCTATTTATGTCAGAAAACGATAATTCTCTGATGATCCTCTGTGCTCATAGCCCTAGTGCAGCGTTCGAAAAGAAAAACTGAGTTTTATGCTTGCTCTTGTCTACTTGAATCTTTACTGTCCTGCCGCGGGTACCCAATGGGTATGTTGGGGCTCGCCCCTTTTGAAGTCAGGGTGGGCTTTAGGATTTTAGTGACTTTATTTTGCTGTCATCGTTGTTGCTTCGGAGAAATGATTTTCAGTGGTCTTGGTTTGATGGCGAGGCACATCCTATCTTACTTTCTTGACATTGTTTAACTTGTTCATCCTTGCCATTGGCAGTTTTAACATGCTCTCGTTCTGACGTTTGTACGGTGATTAGATGTGCCCATTCTTGAGAATGCAATCCTTTGCGTTGCTTCATTTCTGTACCAAGGCACGGTAACTAATCTGGAGACTGGAGTACAGCAAGTATTGGCGGATCGGTTAGGCAGCAAATCTGTTTTGTGTTTTGTGCAAGTAATTCGTATAACAAGCATAAAACTCAGTTTGCCTCGCACTGTGGGAGGCATGTTGCCAATACTGTTGTGGGAGGCATTGGTTTTAGAAACCATGACGACAGAACACAAACATATGCGGATTTTTAAAGTATTATTACAACAAAAAAAAGGGGGTTCTACATTAGTTTTATTCCCTCTTACCACAAGCTGTGACCAAACATGGTACTAGCACAACAGGAAAACAGCAAATAACAGTGCTATTCCATGTCGATACACGGTACTCCCTCCGTTCGTACTTCGGAAAGTGATGAGCACATTTTGATATATATTGTTTATTTGCTAAAGAAACAATATTATTTGAGGCATTTTCAGTACAAATCTATTGATGTAGATTTTATGCCTTAAACTTACATATAGTTTGACTAATTATTGCCAAAGTTTGTAAATTTGTTTTTCTTTACAAAATACGATTATTATTCTAGGACTGTTGGAGTAACTTAACTAGAAAAATCGTGATAAATGGACAGTTGCAGAAAATAGACAAATGGTCTGGGTGACAATAATATATGTGGACTAAGCACGAGCAGCTTAGGGCGAGCGTGTGATGCCGTGTGAGCCCGTGAGAGAGGAACCACCCAGTACGGCGTACGGGACACCAAGCGCTTGCCTTGCCTGACTGCAGCGCAGCATCCTTAGCTAGCATGCACGAGGTGGCGCGGTAGGCGGGCAACAGCGAGCCGCTAGGCCCTGCGAGGACGCGACCGCGAGCGTGCAATGGCGACGGCCCAGGCGTTGCAGGCGATCGGGGTCTCGCGGATGGAGCAGTGCCCGCCACCCGTTCGACGAAATTCGTCATCCTGAAGAACAGCGTGTCTCTTGTCCCTTCAGCGTCAAAGGCTCAAAGCGCGTCAACATGACACTCCACGGCCGGCAAGGTATTCTCATTCTTTCGCCAGAGCGTGTACTACGGCAAGGTATTCCCATCCTTGGGTCTCCACTCTCTTGTAAAAAAAAAAGTGGCTGTCCGCGGGAGACGCGTTTTCCAGCTCAGCAGCCAGCATGCTCGAGCAAGAATCAGATTCTCAGAGTGGGCACAAACACTCTTTGCCTGTCTGCAGCCGCTCAACTCATCTCATCTCATCTCCATGTTTACCCTTGTCTTCACAACTAGCTAAGCTCACAAGTTTCCTGGCTGCACCTGTATCTTTTAGCACCTCTACTCTGCAACACATATATCCTGTATTTTTGAAGAGGAGCAAAAGCAGCAGATTTGAGCTCCAGGTAGTATTTACTTCATTTCTAACCAAGAACACGGACGTTCCTTTTATTGTTTCTTGCTCCACTAGCTTTCATCTTTTTTTTCTGTCTCACTAATAACACCTACTCTGTGCTTTACCTTGTTTTGCAAATTCTTAGCAAATAATTGGCCTTTCTTAGTATTCTTCTCAGGTATGAGGACAAGAACATTCGCCACTCATAATTAATTCATAAATCATAGTTACGGCACAAGATCTCTCTACAGCCTCTTCAGTGCTGGAAGTGGTGGTATGTTTGTATATCCATCAAGATCTAGTTCATTTTCAGGTACTGTTTCTCATCGTCTTTTATCTCAACTTCATTCCTATTTAGGAGAAAGAAGACTGGAGCTTTTTTGGGGGGAGGCGGCTGAAAGGCTGAAATCAGTTCAGTGATTTGAAGACAAATTCAGGTTAGGCTTCAGCACCTATTATTTACCCAAGTCAGATATATCAAATGAATCAACAACTGTTCCATTTCATGCACTTCTATCAGATTATTTCTATTGTTTGAATGAAAATTGCTATCAGATTGTTCCTAGCACTGGTCATAACTTAAGGCAGCAAAAGAAGAAAATAATAATAATAATCATGCATGCATGAAAGCACTGTATGAATGAAGTAGTTGCAACATGTAGAAGCCATGTTTTAGTGCAGTTTTACATTTTGGGTGGGGTGGGGGTCTCTATTATTTTGGTTTTGAGCTTAGCAGCTTCATCACTGTGAGTTCATTTTGCAGGAAATTCTGGCACAAGAGACACTTTAAGAAAAGATGACTGGTGTCGAAGCTGCTGCCATATCTGCTGTAGCATCTGGAATATTAAAGATTGTGGGAAACAAGTTAGCACCACTGGTGATAAGAAAGTATACCTCTACAGTGGGTGTGCAAAAAGATCTCCAGGAGCTTCAGGTCCTAGTTGAGGATATAAACTCTTGGCTGGAAAGCGCAGGATATCAAGCTTTGGGGGATGATGCATCATTTAGTTGGTTTAAACAGTTGAAAGATGTTGCTTACGCTGTTGATGATGTTGTCGATGAGTACCAGCTGAAGGCTGAGAGAAATGATGCTTCTGGTGATGGTGGTATTGTGTCCAGATATATGCGTAGAAAACCAGAATCGTTCATATTTCATTGTAAGGCAGCTAAGAAGATCAAGGCAATCAAGAAGAGATTTGCTACAATTGTGAAGCAAAGAGCCAACATCAATATAATAGCTACTAGTTTACCTGGTGGTCGTCATTCTGTTTTCCATATAAACAAGACAGCTGTGGGGCTGTCGTCAGTGCCTGCCATGGATGCGGCATTAATACTCGGAAGAGAAATGGAGAAGCACCAGCTAATATCTAAATTAATTGAAACCAGTGACCAACAAAAAACCATGATAGTCTCCATTGTTGGACTTGGTGGATCTGGCAAAACTACCTTGGCTAAACTTGTTTTCAATGATGGTAACACTATAGCAAAGCATTTTAAAGTTAGACTATGGGTTCATGTGTCACAAGAATTTGATTTTGAAAGTATTGTTGGGAAGCTGTTTGAAGCTATTGTCCATGGCAAGTCTGAATGCCATAACTTGCAGCATATGGTCAAAAGAATATCAGACGAGTTGACTGAAAAGATGTTCTTGCTTGTACTGGATGATGTTTGGACTAAGGACCGAATTGAGTTGGAACAATTTATGGTACTTATGAGGAGCGGTGGATCTGGAAGCAGGATTTTACTAACTACTCGCAATAGCGATGTTGCTGAAGCAGTGGAATCTGCATATCTATTTAACCTGCCACTCTTGTCTTTGGCTGACAGCTGGCAACTATTTCTTCAAAGCTTTGGTATGACGGTGGAAGGTTTGGACAGAGAATTCCTAGATGTTGGAAATGAGATTGTAAACAAATGTGGTGGGGTGCCGCTAGCAATTAAAGTAATTGCAGGTGTCCTCCGCGACAAGAAACGGATAGAAGAGTGGTAGGCCATTAGAGACAGTAATTTATTAGATGCTGAGGGCAAAGAGCGTAGAGTATCTGCATGCTTGAGGTTGAGCTATTTGAACTTGCCTTCTCATTTGAAGCAGTGCTTCACAATTTGTTCACTGTTTCCTAAAGGTCACAAGATTGACAAAGAACAATTGATTGACCAATGGATTGCTCATGATATGATCACTAGTGCGGATGATGTTGATTACTTGGAGTATATTGGATATGAGTGCTTTAATTCTCTTGTACAAATGTCTTTTCTGCAGGATGTGGAAGAAAATTATTATGGGAGAGTGACATGCAAGATGCATGATTTGATTCATGATCTTGCACACTCCATACTAAAAGATGAAATTTCACTTGATGTGCCAAAGGAGGGAACCAGCTTGACAAAGAGCTACCGATACTTTTCATTAACTAAACATACAAGAATTCTTCCATCCAAATGTCCTTTCGGAAAGGCACGTGCTATTTATGTTAACAATGGTGATGATACTATATTTGGAAGCACATTGCAGAATGCGAAGCATTTACGTAGTATCACTATGGAATCTATGTTTGTGGCAGCAATTCCTAGTGCCATATTCAAGGTGAAAATTTTGAAATATCTTGAGATTTCAAGGCTGAAATGTGAAGCACTCCTGGAAGCCATTTCAAATTTCTGGACCCTGCAAGCTCTTCACATGGCATCCAGTGATCTCCTCGATTTGCCTAAAACCATTGGTAAGCTAATTAAGTTAAGAACATTGAACCTATCGATGTCTCAGAAGCTAAAGTGTTTACCAGATTCCATTGGTGATTGTCAAATGATTTCAATCATTGATCTTTCCCATTGTAAGAATCTTACAGTGTTGCCAAACACTATTGGCAGAAATAAAAAACTAAAGAGTTTTGAGATTAAGTTACACAAAAATTGAGAGGCTTCCATCAAGTATCATAACACTGAGAAATCTGGAGTGTTTGGACCTTTGCACGTGTCAAGAGCTGGTAGAGTTGCCTGAAGGCATTGGCAATTTGGATAATCTTCAAGTTTTGAACCTCAAAGGTTGTAAAAAATTGGGAAGCATGCCTGTAGGTGTTGGACGCTCAGTCGACTCCAAAAGTTGGGCTTATTTGTTGTGGGTGATGGGAAGAAGTCTTTAGGAATCTCAGAGCTTGCAAATGTACCTCGGATCAGTGACGAACTGAGTATAGAGCTATTTCACATGGGATGAACCCAGACGATGCACACAAGGCATGCTTGAAACAAAAGACAAACTTACAGAGTTTGGACCTGGAATGGATAGCACATGAGGCAGGTGAGGTGGACTTGGACCTGGAATGGATGGCACATGAGGCAGGTGAGGTGGACATGGACCTGGAATGGATGGCACATGAGGCAGGTGAGGTGGACATGGACCTGGAATGGATGGCACATGAGGCAAGTGAGGTGGACATGGACCTTGAATGGATGGCACATGAGGCAGGTGAGGTGGACACTGAGTTGGAGCAGGCTGTACTTGATGGTCTAGAACCACCACCACAGATTAAAGAGTTGAAAATTAATGGGTATTCTGGTAGCCAATACGCAGAGTGGATGCAGAATAAAGTGAGTGGCAGAGTACAGGGGCTTGTTCACTTCCCATTTTTTAGGGTGGTGAAGTTATATGATTTTCCTAACTTGAAGCATCTACATGGGCTTGTGGAGCTGCCTTGTTTGGATGACCTTGAGCTGCGAGCAATGCCTTCTCTTGAGAGCATAAGCGGAGGCCCATTTCCTTCCCTGTTGAAGTTAGAAATGGATAAACTGCCTAGTTTAGGAGAAGTGTGGTTGGTAGCTGAGAGAACCATACCTGATGGTGAAGAAGCAGGCATAACAATCGCACACCTGACTTAGGACAAGTCCGTGTTGGTAATTGCCTGTCATATATGTTTATACTAGACTGTCCTAAGTTGAAGTTCAAGCCACACATGCCTTTGTCACTGGAGAACCTGCAGTTGTCCGAGAGCAGCGAGCAACTGCTGCAATCGCCTGCAGACCAATGCCTGGGGTCCTCTTGCTACTCTAATTTCAGCCACCTGAAGAAGCTTGGGCTATGGGGGGATGACAGGACTAGGATTTGGACGTGGGTGGGAGCTGCTGTAACACTTGACGACACTCGAGTCATTGGAGATCAACTCCTCTCTTGTGCTAACCGAGCTGCCAGAGAGCTTGCGGAGCCTCACGTCCCTCCGGTCTCTGAGCGTGTTCGCATGCTCAGCTCTTCTCATGCTGCCCGAGTGGGTAGGGGAACTTCAGTCCCTGCAACAGTTGTTCATCTGGTCTTGTGATATCCTGAGCAGCCTTCCCCAATCAATGGGCCACCTCACATCCCTCCAGGTGCATGTCATAGATGCATGCTATGAACTTCACCAGTTGCCTGAATGCCTAGGGGAGCTTCGCTCTCTATGCAAACTGAAAATTTTCTCTTTGCCAAGGCTGGCTTGCCTTCCCCAATCCATGTCCGGCCAGGCCTCACCTCCCTTCAAGAACTCTGGATCAGTGATTGCCCGGGCGTCGCATCCTTACCGCAAGGGGTGAAATGCCTCTCCTCCCTCGAGCTAATTAACGTCAATGGCTGCCCGGGAATCAAATCATTGCCCGAGGACATAAAAAGCCTCACAACTCTGATGGAGTTGCGGATCCATAGGTGCCCTAATCTGGAGAGGCTCTGCGAGAGAGGAAAGGGGGAGGACTGGCACCTCATCTCCCACATCCCTAATTTGAGGATTTGGCGATGCGCGGCTGCCTTCCATGGCATCATCTGGTGAGTTTGTTCTACTGTATTTTGAGCTCTACAGATGAGCCCCCTTTTCATTATGTATTAGTATTAGATCATTGGAGAACCTATGTCCTCATTGTCTTTTATTCTCTTCAAATGGTTTCAGGTCCATACGCACTTGTAATTATGCCTACAGAGTTTGCTTAGGGCATGTGCATTTCAAGGTGATTCCTCTAGTTTCTTTAAAAAAAAAACAAAATGATGCACTCATCACATGACAAATGTTCCAACTTACTACAACACATGCACATACTATCGCAACTTGGGTGCTTGATCAGCCTAGGCGGTAAAGAGCACGCGATCTCCACGAGTGCAAAAGTAGATGGAGATCCTGCTGAGTCTGATGTACTGCTCCCATCTTTCTGAATTCTGACACTACAATTACCAATGGAGAGAAATCAAGAAGTTCATACATCAAGTGAACAACCCAAAATCCATGAAGCATCCTTGACCTGTGTTGCTTGTACTTAAGCGAGATGCTACAAAATTTTCGTTGCTGCCTTATACCTGTAGAGATTTGCTGAACTGCAGTTTTATGTTCCCTGGAGGCATGGGCCTTTCTAATTGTATCAAGTGTAACTCTGCTGTATCAGATTAATCACATTTGCTAGGATCTCTCTGGCCATTGGTTTTTCAAGACCTTTTGAACCATCACATATCGACACTCATTATTTCAATGACAACCCGAAAATTATCAAAATAAGTTCAAGACTTATGCTTGGCGGTTTTGTTCAAGCCTCAGTTTTGTATATTACATTTGAACCGATGCGAGGGGCTGAGGGCTTCAGGCACTCCCGGATGGAGTGCAACCTTTTCATCAGCGCAACTCCGGATCAAAGTATACATACTATAAAGGCACATTAATTGGTCCAGAATTGTCGAACAAACCCTCATGATGTCTGTGCGAAAGAAATCATAGTGATATGATGTGCTTGATACCACTATAGATATTTAAAGTTCTGAACAATTTGTGCTGCCATTTGTTAGACATTCATATAACTACAACTCTATAGCTGACGTAACACACACTCGCCCATATATAATAGTCATAGAGATGACAACCTTGTTCCAGCCAACTTTAGCCTTACATTTTGTGATAGTGAAAGATAGTAGATCCGTTGACAGCCCAAATTTTATAGCGCCTCAATTAAGACACCAAAACCTGTACAAAAATGAAAATCATAATAACTCCAGAGTTAGCTGTTATCTATAGGAATAGAAAAATCAGTAACTTGACAGAATCTTAAAACTGCATGAACAACTGAGGGCTAATCTGATTAACTGTCATATGTTCAATTAACCTAACAATGAATGAAAAAAAAAAACACTAACTGTTTGACATGTAGTTTACTAATTATGACACTACAACTACAACAATTTCAATTTCGAATTAGAATACAAAAGTCTACTGATTGTTTGACATGTAGTTTACTAACTGCATGTGAAAGTTCACGTCTACACAATGCAGGTTGTTTCTTCGTCAATAATTTTGTAGTGAACTTTCAGATAGAAGCGCCAGGAAAGTTGCAAGTTAGCTTACATATGTTAAAGGTAGAAAGGAACTTCAAAACTTTGAGAACTCTCTCATCAACATCTTGACACTTGACTTCAACAATGTTAAGGTGTTTTGAAATTTTAACCGATCGCTCCATCAGATTGAAGCTTCCTTTCATTTCAATTTTATACTTAGGTCCCTGCAGTGAAATAAATCATTTTCCCAAGATCACTCAGCGGTGTAACTATTCTCATTTGCAGCAATTGCTCATTATGTATAAAGAACATACCTCACAAAACAGTTCAAGTGTAAGCTTCTCAAGAACCGGTGAGTGTTCAAGAATACAGACTAATGAGTTGAAGTCATCAGGTGTACACCAGTAGTCATTGAGAAATAAAGCCTTCAGATTGTTAAAGACAGGGCAGAGGGCACCATCTCAAATCACTTTTGAAGTAATCTGGACAAAAAGATGCAATAATGTAGACAATGTAGCATAAACAAGGGAATGGCATAGAGTTATTAATAATGTAATTGAGGCAAAGTGTAAGTTTACCTGCTCTGGTTCAGAAATCAACACCAAGCTCTTAGCTTGTGATAAACCTCTTAGGAGCACAGAATTACCGCTGCCATCAGTGTTCTCAGAACTGTCACACAATTGGCAGATACAATCCAAAATTTCTGGGTCTAACAGTTTTGCACAGACATCCACACATTCCTCAGTTATCCGGACAAATGCCTTCACTAATGATGACATGCTGTCAAGTATGGGAGTCATCTCCCAGAGGTCATCTAGACACAGTGAGACCAGGCTTGGGGTGTAAATGCAAACACGAGAAAAGTCATCAAAATAGCAATGAGTCAAGCTCAGATGCTTTAGGGACTTGGACGAGATCTTGTTGGCAGTCGAGAGACCACACTCAACCAACTCTAGATGTTCTAAGACCGGGCAGCTGGAGAAGTTGAGAAAACTGCTGTGGAGTTCTACACCACGGAGGTCCAGTCTCGTCAGGTGCAGAGAAACGAGAGGCAGGTCGTCTAGCACAAAGACAGTACATGGAAAATATATGGAGCTTGAGCACTCGAACTCTGCACATGACGGCATGGCGGAACCAGAGATTCACCCGCGGCACATCATCATCCTGGAATTCACATAAGTCAAGAGGTGAACCTCCGCGGAGGAGCAGCAGATGTTCCAAAAACTCAATCATCAGTAACTGGAGTTAAACACAATCATCAGTAACTAATAACTATTACATACTGCACAACCATCAGTAACTAATAAGATTAGAAGTACCTAAGTTACAAAGCTACAGGTGCAAAAGAAATGACAAGCAGGCAAACACTGACCATCTCCAGAAATTTAACATTTGAAAGCATACCAAAATTTCACAACGAATCAAGGAAGGTAACTAGTAAACACATGATCTGTATGCCAAAAATGCCATGTACTCCTATAAATAGCAATGAACTATCCAAAAGCAATGCAAAAATCACAATAGAATCGCCACTGAACCAAGCTGATAGAAAAGGCACCACTGTCATTCCAGATCCATCAAGCAGCAGTATCTCAAAAGCACAACCTTAATTCTCATAGCATCCCAACAGCATAGTAAGCCATTCATTGAACAGGGCCAATGATAATAATACCGCAGCCAGACAAATTAACAGAGGGAACCATGACTAGCAACAACACCCCACTACCACCAGCACCAGTACAAATAAGAGGGGAGGCCACTGCTTAAAAAAAGGGGCACAAGGTCATCTGCATCACATATCTACCTACTACTAGCTGAGAAATGCCTTCTTGCAAAGAAAGACTGAGTTACGCTATGTTGAGATAGACTACTGTGGTAGCAGCGAAGTAAGATCAACATAAACTGCTGCAATTGCCAGGCCTATGCCTGTGCTGAGCCTGCTGGCGTCCTCTTCCTACTCCAATTTCAGTCACCGGAATGAACAAGCTTGGGCTATGGGGGATGAGATGACAGGGTTAGGATTTGGACATGGGTGGGAGCTGCTGCAGACACATGACAACACTCCGAGCCATTGGAGATGAAGTCCACCCGAGCTGCCAGAGAGCTGCGGAGCCTCACAAGCTTGGAGATGAAGGACGGGCAGCTGGAGAAGTTGAGAAAACTGTTGTGGAGTTCTACACCACGGAGGTCCAGTTTCGTTAGGTGCAGAGAAACGAGAGGCAGGTCGTCTAGCACAAGACAGAACATGGAAAACATATGGAGCTTGAGCACTCGAACTCTACACATGACGGCATGGCGGAACCAGAGATTCACCCGTGGCTCATCATCGTCCTGGAATTCAGTAAATCCAAATTCGCAGAAGTCGAGAGGCGAGCCTCCGCGGAGGAGGAGCAGATGGTCCAAAAACTCACGGTGCTCTTTCGCCAGTGCCCCTTCATCCTCATGGCGGCACCCCACACGCAGGCCCGTAGTGAATCTCCATAGCTGGCGCTAGCGCCGAGCGAGAACACACGTCCGCACGGCCTCCGGAGCTAGCAGGAAGCCGAGGATGTGCCCAAGGACGCCATCCGGCAGGGCGTCCATCATCAGTAACAAATAAGATTCTCTGCCGGAGTCCGCTGTCCGCCTACAGCCTCCTCCTCTCCGCCTACTGGTAGGGTTCTGGGGGAAACGAGAGAGAACAGAGGAGCGCTGGAGCGGGCAATGTCCGATGCTAAGCTAGCTACGTACCGTTGCAGACGCCCTAATAGATAGTGGGCCAAAGATCGAACTTAGCGGCTGCTAGTGCATTTATCGTTTGCTATTTACTACATGGATGGTTCAGGTGACAGTGTGGATAATTCCAAAAACAATAAAAATGTTAAGATACTGATTAGAACTATGATAAAATAATAGGATGATTAATAATATCCTCTTCAACCGATATAAAAACTTAAAGATAGTTTGTCTCCATGTGATCTTAGGCCCTGTTTAGATTGAAGCTGCTAAACTTTAGCCACGTATGTTTAGTTTGGTGGACTATAAGAACTTTTCAGTTCCTTCTAGTCAGGATGTTTAGATCCAAAGTGACTAAAAGGTGAGGCAGCCTAGGCTTTAGTCCCATTTAGCAACCCCTGGAGACTAATTGGCTAATGTCCATTTAATCCTATTTAGTCATAGTGTTTACATAAAAAGTGACTAAATAGGACTAAAACCAGTCAGCTAAACTTTAGCAGCCCAATCTAAACACCTCCTTATTCATTTATGTGTTTCTCTGTGATTTATGTCATTAAATGTAATGGTTAACTAAGAAATCCTAAATATTTTAAACCAAATGATACTAGTATTGGCATATATGCTCTAAATTTTGACTATTAATATTTGGTTATTATAACTTAAGCTATAGCACCTGTTATTCGTGATTCGCTACGCAGACACTAGCCCACCATGAAGCTATTATTCGCTGTATTTAGCGCTCACTAGAGGGGATTTGCCAAGTACGGTTTTTTTTATTTTTTGATGAGGAGAATTTGCCAAGTACGTGATTGGTTAGTGCCCATGGTTGGACCAGCCTGCACCAGAGCCGGGCCAAGCGCATTCAGGCTGTGGGCGTGCGAAGTAGCTCCGTTTGGTTACCTGTTTCGCATGGGCCACGCTGTACTCAGCTGGTGATTGGTTGGCTAAACCATAGCGACTAAGCAAAAATAACACCTCATGCACACGCGCTGCACTGTATTGTTCATTCTCCATGGAAGCATGGACCGTTTGACTTTCTCAAAAGCACGTTGAAATAACTCTGCTTTCTCAGATCCAACGTTTTGTTCTGCTGTTGAATTTAACATGACGTGACGGAAATCTATATCTGCTGGACGTTGTTTGATGTATTCACTTCAATACAGATACGTTGGAGTAAAATAAAATAAAATTTAGTTTAATTCTATTTCAATCTACTTCAACATATGTGGATTTGAATACATGCGTATCCAAACAAAATCTTATAGGCTTTCTTCAGAAGCCAGAGAAGGCACGACCCGGGTAGAACGGAATGGGATTTTTTTTGACTAATTAATTCTTGCTATTTCTCTTCTCTGACCCCTGTTGCTCTTTGGTTTCCTTCACCACCACGTTTTTCTCGTTGCTGCACGGCACTCGCTCGCACAACGAGGCCGGGGAGCGAAGTCCGCACGTCCGTGGTTGGCCCGTGCCACAATTAGAACCGGGGTTACATCCAGGGAAAGTGACGGGTTGTTTCCAAACGAGTCCACGAAGATAAACTCCACTAATAATTTATCTTGCCATACAAAATATTCATATCAATATCCACTAGAACATCATACTAATACATTTTACTATCTAGCTATGAAAAAATATCCACATTAGCATCCACTGACATATCAATTAACACATAACATTATGTCTTTACTCAAGCTATTCGCATTAAACCACATCATTTATTTACTAACATATATTTAGCTATCTACATCATAATGCTAAATTCAACCACTAACATATATTATAATATTTATTTAATGATGCTAGAAAATAAGTAGTATAATTTTACGGGCGATTTCTGCAGTAACACGCGGGGCGTTCTTGTTGTATGGTTACTGACGGAGCTACCTAGGGCCGCCGCGTCTATCCCCTGCATCACCTCACCGCTCTTCTTCTCCATCAGGCACTGGCACAGCCGCTTGGGACGGGCCAGACCGGGTCACCTTGCCGGAGAGAGGCCAGAGCACTGCCATGGGCCATGGCCAATCGAACCTGCCTGCCGCTGCCTGGTAGACTCCTTTGGACATGGCGCGGCCCCAACGCCTGCACGTGGTGGCACTGGCACATCGAGCGTTGCAAGCATCGGCGATCGACAAAGGGGTTGGCTCGGCGACAACAGGTACCCGCGCACCACCTGTTCGGCGAAATGTGGCACAGCACTTAACAGGTGACAAGCTGTCAGAATTTCATTTTTTTTTCTTTTTCTTTTTCTTGCTTCTGTGGACTGCTGGGTTTGAGTTCTCTATCTTCCAATATTTCCTTCTTCTGTCTTTTAACTTCTCCGGATTTCCAAACAACCCCAGCATCATCTCTGTAAGCAGACAATACAAAATGCACACGTCTCTAACTTTGAATTTGACGTATTTACCCACCTACCATGCACTACTTTAATTGCAAATGGTGAATATTATACAATTTCAAGACGCGTTTCCAGCTCTGCAGTTAGCATAGTTGACTTATCAACAAGGAAGCGTGGTCACAGCAGAAGCACCAAAGTTCCCAGGCCTTCTGCCTCAAAAGCTCTGATTTGCATACAGTGCATAGGAGGACAGGAGGACAGGAGTAGTAAATTCCCTTTGGAGATTGGAGGTAGCACAGCCAGAAGCAGCAGATCTGAACTCCTGGTATATGCAACCTTCATTTATTTCTCCAACAATGGACATCTACACTTTCTGCTTTCGATGCAATTGTTTTCAGCAAACAAAACTGGTGATTGTACTGCAATTTTCAGGTACTCAAGGCAGGACGCAGGAAGCTCAGAAGTCATACATCATAACTACAATACGTGATAGCTCTTGTCCTGTTGATTCTTCGTAGGTAGAGGCTATGGTATGTTCATCTTCCAGTCCCTGAATATTTGCTTAGTTGCTTTCGTGCACTATATACAACTTGCCTTTACTCCCTGATGCCTCATATTTTGTACTCATTTTCTCTCCTTGTGTGCTTGTTGAAGCTCCTTGGTCTGCAGTTCGTTAGTTCGCTAGGAAGCAGCACAAGCTAGCGGAACCTCCCAATCCCAAATGCTATCATCCCTGGCCATCTATATCTAGATAGGGTCAAGCACGCATTGTGCAAACCTAGATTCCAGAAGCTCTGGTGTGGATACATTTCAGAGGAGAAAGGGAAGAGATGGCACAAGTAAAAACAGCAGATATGATGAGCTCCAGAAAGCTCTGATTCGCATTGGTGGAAAGGAGGGCACAAGAAGGACCAGCATGTCTGAGCTCCAGGTATTGTACGTTATTTTTAACCAAGAATATGGTACCATATTGTTTTGCTCATTGGTTCTACTATGTTCATCCATTTGTACTCTGGCTTCTATGCTTTCTACTTTGGACAGTAATCTTTTGGACAATAACTTGGCCTTTGACTTCTCAGGTACTGAAGTGAAGGCTGAGTACTCCTAAGTCACAAATCATAAAACTACAAAGACGCTTAAGTGCTTGACGCTGTGGTATGCTAATCTTACCATCATTATATCCTTCGTCTACTTTCACATCTTGTTATTGTCTGTTTCATTTTCATGCACTTCAAGTTAGATAATATCATGGACTACTGATTACTGCAATTCTATCATGTAATAACAGTCTCCATTAGTCATAGTATTAATAGAACAGCAAAGGAAGAACTAATAGTTTGGTCAGAAAAGTAAGCACTATACTAGCCAAACTGTTGAAAGTTGAAACTTGTAGAAACCTGGAATATATTGTTCAGCACAGTTCAAATGCAATTTTGGTTGTTCTGACTGTTAATTTTAATTTAACTACACAGGGTTTGGGTGAAAGCGGCACCTTAACAATATGGCTGGGATGGAAGTGGCTGTAGCATCTGGAATATTGAAGATTGTGAGCAGCAAATTCTCTTTATCTCTTCCTAGCACTAACGCTGCATCAATGTTGGGAAGATGCCATTATTGCCCAACATTGATGCAGCGTTAGTGCTAGGAAGAGATAAAGAGAAGGATCTGATCTAGTGTTGATAACTTGGAATATGCTGGCCACAAGTTCTTTAATTCTCTTGTGCAAGTGTCTTTTCTACAAGATGTGGAAGAGTAAGGTGCCAGATGCATGATTTGGTTCATGATCTTGCGCGGTCCATCTTGGGCAATGAAATTTCACTTGTGCCAAAGGAGGCAACCATGCTCTCAAAGAGCTATAGATACTTTTCTTTGATTAATCAACCAAGAAATATTCGGCCTAAAAGTATTTTTGGTAAGGCACGTGCTCTATATGTTGATGAAAGTGATATCGCCATATTTGGCAAGGAATTGAAGAATGCAAAGCACTTGCGCAGTATCACGATGGAATCTTTGTCTACAAAATCAGTACCCACTGCCATACTGCACGTAAAAAATCTGAGGTATCTTAGCATATCACACGAGAATTTTGATACACTTCCTGAGGCTATTTCAGATGTTTGGAGCCTGCAAGCGCTTCATGTAACAGTCTGTCGTTACCTTATCAAGCTACCTGAATCCATTGGTAAGCTGCAGAAGTTGAGAACACTAAATTTGTCAGGATGTGATAGCCCAATGAATTTACCAGATTCTGTTGGCGATTGCCACATGATTTCAAGTTTAGACCTTTCTATTGCAAGAAGATTCCAGTGTTGCCGAACTCAATAAGCAGAAATAAAAAGCTAAGAGAGTTGAGACTACAATCTACAAAAATTGAGAGGCTTCCACCTAGTATCACGACTGTTAGATGTATAGATGTTTCTCTATTTTCTCTCTACTTGGAGGGTTTCTTTGCATACTCACATGTATATTGCCCTTGGGCCTAGCAATAAAAGCTGGTTGGCCACGTCCTTCTAACATAACATGGTATCAAGCTAGGGTTTCTTACCTGCTCCTGCCGTCCGTCCAACCCCGCAGCACACTGCACGGTCGCTTACGCCCCTCCGCGCCATCCCCAGCCACGGTCGAGCGCCGCCCGCCGTGGGCCCGCGGTCCCTGCGGCATCCGCCTCACGCGGCCCTACGCCTGCGCCCGCGCCCCCGCGGTCCCAGGCGCCGCGGTCGCCGCGCCCCTGCGGCCCCAAGCGCCGCGTCCCCTCCACCCTGATGCGCCGCGGCCGCCCGCAACCCCGCGGTCCCTTCCTGCGCCACCCTCTCCTTCCCCTGCCCCTTCCTGTGCCGCCTCCTCTGTTCCCCTCTTGCCGTATTCTCTGTTTTCCCTCTTACCGTATCGAGCAGCTGTGCACTCCTCTGATTTTCCTTTTTATCACTCTCTAGTTAACCATTGCCAAAAAAACACCCAGCAGCAGCAGCTCCTGCCTTCTTCCATGGCCTCCTCCGGGCGTCCTGGTGCTATGCCTATCCCTCGGTGCCCCATCATTTTCAATGGCACCAATTGGAGTGAGTTTGTCTTGCATATGGAGATCCACATGGATGGCCAGCAGTTGTGGGGCTATCTCACGGGTGAGCGGCCCTGCCCTCTCGTCCTGTTCTCCCCACACCGCCCACGTACCCGTCGGATGCTATGGATGATGACAAGAGTGCTTTGCCTGAAGCATTTGAGGTTGACATGGAGAGCTACCAGTCTGATCTTGGTATCTATGAGACTTGGCTGCGTGAGGAAAAGAGTGCCAAGGCCATCTTATTTGCGAGCATGGAGGTCGATCTCTCACTATCCCTCAGGGGTCTTGCCACTTCACACCTCATGTGGGATCACCTCCATCACAGTTATGAGATCCGTAACGAGGCGATATACCTTGTTGTTGTTGAGGAGGCTCAGACGCTTCGTCAGCTTGACTCTACTGTTGAGGACTTCCACCGTCAGATGACAGCCATCTGGCATCGTCTGTACGGTCTGGGCGCTGAGTTATGTGGTGGTGGTACTTGCCGGTGTTGTGACCATCACCGGGCCTAGAGAGAGACCCTTCACCTTCACGAGTTTCTCTCTCGGCTTCGCCCTGAGTTCGAGATTGTTCGGGCATAGTTGCTGACTCGTCGTCCGCGCCCATCACTCATGGAGGCGATGCCTGAGCTGCGAGCCGAGGAGATCCGTCTTTGAGCTAGGGGTGTGAGTCGTGTTCCGCTGTAGCCCTCCGTCTTGGCGGCCACACCTCCCTAGGTCTCCTCGCCTTCGTCTCAGTCCTCTTCTGCGGTGGCAGGGGCACCATCTGGTGTTCAGTGTGGCTACTGCAAGCTCTACGGCCACGAGGAGAAGGATTGTCGTAAGAAGCAGCGCGAACGACCGGGGCGTCGTGGCAGGCGCTTTTCTCAAGGCTCTGGTGGTTCCTCTACTCAGCAGGGCACTCGCTCTGTGTCTGCAGCGGAGCAGGAGGTTCTCACCATGTTTCGTCGCCTTACTACTGCAGCTTAGGCCTCCGCTCATGGGACTACTGCTCAGGCTTCTAGTTCCACTCCTCCTCCTCCTCCTCTGTCAGGTATATCATCCCCATGGTTTCTTGACTCTGGTGCCTCTTTTCATATCACACCCCATTCGACAAACCTGTCTTCTATATCCTTTTCTCCACCTTCACCACCTCCACCTCCGCCACCTCCTCCTACTTCTCCACCTCCACCACCTCCTCCTACTTCTCCACCTTCGCCACCTCCTACCTCTCCACCACCAGTCTGTCCTTCACATGAGATCACTTACTACTACACTCATCGTCCGCGACCTACGCCGCCACTTGACTCTTCCCCGTCCGTCCTTGGACCTCCTTCGGAGTCTTCCCCTCGCTATGCTCTTCATGACCGCAGCACCCTTCGTCCTCCAGATCGTCTTGGCTTCACTGCTGCCATTTTGGCTGAGCCCGAGACCTATCGGGAGGCTGCTGCTCACCCAGAGTGGCAGCATGCTATGGCTGAGGAGATTGTTGCCCTGGAGCGTACTAGAACCTGGGATCTTGTTCCTTTGCCACCTCATGTCATTCCTATCACTTGCAAGTTGGTGTACAAGGTAAAGACCCGCTCGGATGGCTCCCTTGAGCGCTACAAGGCTCGTCTTGTGGCGTGCGGGTTCCAACAGGAGCAAGGTCGTGACTATGAGGAGACCTTCGCTCCTGTGGCTCACATGACTACCGTTCGGACTTTTCTTGTAGTTGCTTCCGTTCGCCAGTGGCCGATATCTCAGTTGGATGTCAAGAACGCCTTCCTCAATGGCGAGCTACGAGAGGAAGTCTATATGCAGCCACCTCCAGAATACTCTGTTCCTGATGGCTTGGTTTGTCGGTTGCGCCGTTCTCTCTATGGCCTTAAGCAAGCTCCTAAGGCCTGGTTTGAGCATTTCTCCTTTGTTGTCATCGATGCTGGTTTTACGCCTAGTGACCACGATCCTGCTCTCTTTGTCCACACTTCCCCTCGTGGTCGCACCCTTCTTCTTCTCTATGTCGATGACATGATCATCACGGGCGATGACTCTTAGTACATTGATTTTGTGAAGCAGCGTCTCAGTGAGACATTCCTTATGTCTGATTTGGGTCCCCTTCGTTACTTCCTTGGTCTTGAGGTCAACTCCACATTTGATGGTATTTTTCTCTCTTAGGAGAAGTACACTCAGGACCTCCTTTCTCGTGCTTCTCTCACTGATCACCGCACTGTTGACACTCATAAGGAGCTTAGTGTTCACCTCCGACCCACTGATGGTACACCACTTGCTGATCCCACTCGCTATCGTTAGCTTGTTGGGAGCCTTGTCTATCTTGGGATCACCCGTCCTAATATTACTCACTCTGTTCATATCTTGAGTCAGTTTGTCTCGGCTCCTACCTAGCTCCACTATGCTCACCTCCTTCGTGTTCTGCGATACCTTCGCGGAACCATCTCCCGCCGCCTTTTCTTTCCTCGCTCTAGTTCTCTCCAGCTTCAGACGTACTCCGATGCGACCTGGGCGAGTGATCCCACTGATCGCTACTCTCTCTCAGCTTATTGTGTTTTTTTGGCTCCTCCTTGATTGCCTGGAAAACCAAGAAGCAGACTGCAGTTCCCGCTTCAGTGCTGAGGCTGAGCTGCGTGCTATGGCGACTGTGACTGCAGAGGTGACATGGCTACGATGGCTTCTTGAGGATTTTGGTGTGCCTGCCACTGCACCCACTCCTCTCTCTTCTGACAACACCGGTGCGATCAGTATTGCTCGGGATCCGGTCAAGCATGAGCTCACCAAACACATTGGCGTTGATGCTTCCTACATGAGATCGCAGGTGCATGATCAGGTTGTGTCGCTCCACCATGTGCCTTCAGAGGTTCAGCTAGCGGATTTCTTCACAAAGGCACAAACTCGGGCGCATCATATATTCTTGCTCTCCAAACTCAGTGTTGTAGATCCACCATGAGTTTGAGGGGGGGGTGTTAGATGTATAGATGTTTCTCTATTTTCTCTCTACTTGGAGGGCTTCTTTGCATATATGTACTCACATGTATATTGCCCCTTTGGGCCTAGCAATACAAGCTGGTTGGCCACATCCTTCTAACAACGACACTAGGAAATCTAGAGCTTTTGGACCTTCGGTGGTGTTGTAAGATTCTAGAGTTGCCTGAAGGCATCGGAAATTTGAAGAATCTTCAAGTATTAAACACGAGAGGATGTGATAATTTGAGAGCTATGCCGGTAGGTATTGGACAGCTCAGTATTAAACATTTGATTCCAATTAAAATGTACACAAACCGTCTCAAGTTTGTCGTTGAAATCCTTGTCAAATCTGTCAAAATATAGCCTAAACATTTGATTCCAATAAAATTATAAGACCTCTAATAAAATAGGGGCAAAATCGCATGACTAAACTTGTCCTTTTTTTAACAAAAGTTAGTACCGTTAATAAGAGGACTTCACGAAATAAGAGAAAACTCTTTCTTCAATTTGAAAATGCAGGGTTAAAATCCCAAAGATTATAAAACAAAGCAAAATTACTATTTCGCTTCGAAACAAAGGCATGAACGTTTAAGCCTCTAAAATAAAAAATATGTACTAATCTACTACTACATTAATTGGGGCACAAATCAATGCATCTATGACCGTAGTAGCACGGAGTCCTCAACGGCAATCCTAAAACGTCAGCTGATGTGGCAGCGAGAGACACTAAAAAAAAAATAAAGAGTAAATCTACGTGAGATGAAGCAAAGACACACTGTTCATTGATATACGTGCGAGACTTTCGCTTCGCAGCTCGCTAGTCTCTTTCCTTTCCAATCTCTTTCTTCCTCGTTGGACAAAGTCTGACACATGCTAACGACTACGACCACCGTTGAGGGCGCCCATATCAAACTAATACTCGTCATAATTAGTACTAAGTAATAATGTAATATCGTCCTAATAATTTTTAATTTATTTACTAATGATTAAGATTAGAAAATCCGGACAGGTCATTTGTTTTATTATATATATATATATATATATACACACTAAATACATGCCCGTGCGTTGCACCGGGACCTTAGATTTTTGGACTAAACCTCACGCGAACGCGTGAGCTCCATAGTTCTGAATGAGGTAGGGAATAAACCTCACGCGGATGCCTGAGATCCATGGACACGTAGATCCGGCCTTTGTATCGGAATTAGATAGAACGCGAACACGTGATCTCCGAGTGGAAAATGATTTGTATCGGATTCGTGCTGGATCCGAGATTTGGTATCACCGGATAGATGACGACGTTACAGTCATGGAGTCAGCGTACGCTAGCCTAGTGGTGCCTGACCTGAACTCAGCAGGGTGCTCCCACACCGCCAGATCCTGTAGATGGCGTACACGTTCATGATCAGCAGTGTGCCACGGTGGATGTATATATATATATATATATATATATATATATATATATATATATATATATACTGAGCTTGTAGCTTCTTACATATCAGACTCTCGGAGTCGGAATTTTGACGGATATACTTAGCCTGCGTATAATATCAGACTGGAATGGTAAAGCCTTGGTATCGGTCTCAGAGCTCTGGTAACAGAGTTAGACATGCATGCATGTCAGCATGTGCAGGTATGTATTCGTGGTACCGTTGTACGTGTGCATGGAGATCACAGCGCTGCCACCGCTTCTCTTCTCTTCTCGGATCGTACATACGTCTCCGTGGCAGCCACTCAACTGAAGGCAGAGCGCTTGTCTTCAGTGCTGGCTGTAGAGAGGTAGGGCCGTGGTTTATCGACCCGTGCCGGCCGGAGAGACGAAGCAAAACGAAGTAGGACCCTCTCGGCCGCTGGAAGGCCAACTGGTCCCATGTCGGCATGTCATCGGCTCACGTGGCAGCAGACGCCGACAGCAGCCCTGCCGGTCGCTGGAGGGCCGACATGTCCTGTCGGCTTTTGGTCAGCCGACAGGCCCCTCGGCAACACAGCACCCGACTACACTATTTTATGTTGTCTTAGCACTCAATACCTTTCCCGAACACAACCATTACCACGCAAACAACTCTACCACTTTTCGAGCGACACTAAAAATATTTGATCCCCTTTTCCGGACATATAACATACACCATAATTTAGAGAATCTTACAAACCCTAATCTACAACTAAAACTATACTAACTAATCTAATTAACTAAACTAACTAAATATACTAAGTAATCTAACTAAACTAAATTAAACTAACTCAAAAAACTAAATCAAACTAAACTAACCCTAACCCTAATCTACAACTAAACAAACCCTTAAACTAAACTAACTAACTAATCTAATTAACTAAACTAACTAATAAAGTAAATAAAAAAAGAAAATCTAAATTAAAAAAAAAAACCTTACCTTCACAGCCGCCGCCGAGCAGCCCGCAGGCCGGGTGGGGGGCAGCGGCGGCACGGCGCCAGCGAGTGGGAGAGCTAGTGCGCGGGAGGCTGATGCTTTCGCTCCTGTCGGCCTTCGGCTGGCCGACATGAGGTCTATCGGCTGTCGGACGGCCGACAGGCCCTTCGCCTCCCCACAGACGTGGACCTGCTGGCTCTGGGATGCCGATATGTGGCCAGCCTTCGTGGGCCTTTGCAGCGTGATTGCACGGGCTAGTGACCCCGCGCCATCATGATTAGGAGACATATATAAATAGAAGATGAAGCAGCCTGTGTTAGCTTTTAGACGACGCGAATATTAGAATATATACACATCACAATATTATACAACTTTATCATGATTTTCTTGCATTTTTTACATGACTATATTAAATACTTCGCAAAAAAAATTTGAAAAAAAATATCTGATCCAAATATGTTTCTTGCTAGATTAATTGATGTATTACCATTTAATAGCACAATCAAAGTGTATAACAAAATCAATTAGATGTAAGTTAGAAAGTTTTCTACTATTAACTTTCTCGCCCACGTGCTTCCAACCAAACAGCCATTCTCAAGTTTGCTCGGTCAGCAGATTTCATCAAATTTTCAGTGCAAC